AGAGAGACAGAGAGAGAGAGACCAATAGGAAAAGTAAAGGAGGTATATGAGACATGTGCATATGTGAGAGAAAGAGGGAGGGGGGAAAAGAAAAAGAAAAAGAAAAATATTCTTATCACCTCTCTCTCTCTCTCTCTCACGCACACACACACACACAATTTCATTAGTTAATTGGCCGATGCCGAAGGCAAACATATGCAAAGTACATGTTATTAAAGAGAAATGCAATTCTTAAAAATAATGAGCATAAGGGTTTGAATTCCTCAAAACCACACCAAACTGGGACTTAATGGAAAGTCACAAACAGGTAAGAATCTTAGAGTGCAGTTTCCAAAAAAATTTATTTTTTGGTCCGGAGCACAATTATGAGCAATAAAGAGAGATATAGCAATGGCACAGTGTGCAAGAAGTAAAGGAGACTAACCTTCTTTTCCTTTTCGAGTATTTCTCTAATTGGGCAATGCGCAGCAGTAACACACAGATTCTGTGACAATGGAGAGATGAATATACATAAGTACTCAAGAAGCATATTTCATGAAAACCCATTCAATATTGAGGAACATCAAAGAGTGCGAGCGAACCTTCAAATCACTTCCAGAATATCCTTCAGTCATATTTGCAACAGCATCCAGATCCACATCAGGTGCTAGATCCTCCTTCGCCAATATCACTCTCAGGATCTTTGCTCTGTTTGCTGCATCGGGCAAGTTCACCATTAACCTGCAGAATCATTTCACCAGATATCATATCAAAGTTACAGGGATCTCCTACCTAAGTTACCGCTCCACCTCTCAGAATGTGGCTCTGAGGCTTGGGAGCTCGAATTCATTCCCACCACATTCCTATTCCCACCGCATTCCCATTCTTTTGGAATGTGTTCCATGTTTTCTTGGGAACTCTTTCTACTAAAGTGGTTAAGAGCCTGATCGCTCCTTTAGCAGGCTCCATTGTGGAAAACCCAAAATGCATTATGAGGTGGGTTTTAAATAGGGGGAGCAAGTTTCATTCTCGACAAATTTTTAAGGATAACTCCAGCATCAAAATCCTCCAACTATTTTTTGAACTTTACGTTGTAATTATTTTTAATATGTACTGCATGGAGGACCCCTAAGGGAGCTTCTGCCAAGCAACAAAAATCCCCATGGTCAATCCCACTCCCACTCATTGAAGGAATGAATGGCATGAATAGGACACCATCACATCAGTCAGCAATAATATGTTCAAAGCAAATTTCTAGAAGCTTCTCACAAAGGCCAAATGATGCTCCTACCATCAACCAGGATTTTTTTTTTAATAATACTGTTCCCCACCCAAAAAGAAGGGTGTTATCCCATTTCGGGTTAAGTCATTAAAGTCCAAAGCACTATGGATATCGTAGTCCATTGTGGTCTTGACTGACCCATGAAATACTGGACGGAAATGCAGAGAAGATGGGACCTAGCTTTAGGGTCATGTCCTGTTATTGTGATTTCCAATCTCTCTCCAGCAATATGCATCACTCCTTGGATAGTCATGACTCATGACTCCAAAAGACTGGACTATGGTACTCACGAAGTTTTTGGACAATATACCTGCCCATTTTACTATGTTTCCCCCTTGTAAGTTTTAAGAAACCTCAGTCAGTGAGGTTCTCAAAAGTTCCTATAAGAATATATGGAAAACCTGCCCTACAGATGGATGTAATATGACAACCAAAGGCAACAGAAGAAACCACTTCTAAAATCAAAACCATTCTCACCTTCGAGGCAGCCGCCGAATAACAGCCTCATCCAGGTCAAAAGGCCTATTAGTCGCAGCAAGTACCAGCACCCGCTCTTTGTCCTTAGTGCGCAGGCCATCCCAGTTCACCATAAATTCGTTTTTCATCTTACGCATAGCTTCATGTTCACCAGGGTTCTCCCGCCTACCCAACATGCTATCAACCTACAATGCAATCAAACAATTCCAATTGTTAATCCCAAAAGTTTATCCCTTCTCATTCTTTTCTCTTTGATAGGAGAAAATTCTTTTGGTTAGAAATGGTTCAGGATCTCTGTTGTGAGGATGAAAACTTAACCAATTGAGCAACAGGTCAATAATTAAGGCAACTTATTCATAAACAATGATTAGGAATATCATAACTAAATTACTTTTTAAAAACATAAGCGAGTAAATTACTTTTTTTAAAAAAAAACTTTTTTACATATCAAAACAATTCATGGATATAATATAATGCAAAAAATTGAAAGACATCATGCAGCATAAAGATATAATAGCAACAAGGACATCAATAATACAGCAATAAAATGTCCTGAGCTCACCTCATCAACAAAGACAACACTAGGTGCAATTTTACTTGCAAGGGAAAACACCGCTTTAACATACTTTTCACCCTCACCAAACCACTGCGATGACAAACCAAGACAACAGTAATAAGAATACCTTTTTCTTAAGAGGAGCATAGATATTAAAAGACAGGATCTTCAGATTCAACAGGCACCCAGGCAAACCTTAGAAGTGATGCTTGACATGGAAATGTTGATGAAATTTGCTCCAGCTTCTGTGGCCACAGCTTTTGCAAGCATCGTCTTCCCAGTACCTGGAGGGCCAAATAAAAGTATGCCCTTGCAAGGCTGGACCAACATCAAACACCACCAAATCAGAATCAGAATATGAAAAGTCATTGAGCTATATTTGTAACATTATAATATTGAATGCTTAATAAACAACTAAAAGGTACAGAGAAGAACTAATAAATGGCACTTAGATGACAATTGACAAAACTAAATGGTGGCACCCCATGCTCCATGAGTAAGTTACCAAGACTGAGAATCCTCTTAAGAAGTGTAACAAATCAAACCAAAACAGCTGATACAGATTCTTGATCTTTTAGATGAGCCTAATGCCTGAGGACCACATGCTCCCCATTTAATTCAGACAATAATGTTCAAACACATTCAGCCTCAAAGATAACTGACTTAGGCAAAAAGTAGACCCTAGATCCAAATCCATGAAGCACATCGCCTAGGCTTACACCGACAAATAGACAAAATCGAAAGAGCATTTCACCCAAACCATCTCGTCATCTGAAACTAAATGCACCACCTACACATGATCCTAAAAAATCCTATGGTCTCCTTCCCTTAATACATGTTTTGTGTGTGTGTGTGTGGTGGGGGTGGGGGCGGGGGGTAGGGGGGGGGGGGGTGGGCGAGAGTAGGAGGTTAAAGACGTCGTAGTGGCGTAGGTAGAGTTCGTTGGGACTAAGTGTAGTT